GACATTGGCTCATTTTGCTCCGTAAACTTTCAGTGGGGTTTTTAATCTCCTGGGAATCTGTTTGTATCTGTTATATGGATTCCATTTGTTTCCTAAGTTGGGATTCCATCATATTCTTCAGGTCCTCTATATTTTTATTTATGTCTGCTCTAGATTTATTAATCATATCTTGTACTAGGGCCACAATCTCTGCTGTTATCTGAGTAATTATTTATGATTTCATTTTTTCCAGGTCCCCTTTCTTTGCCAGTTCAGGGAGTCCAGGTGATTGAGCATCAGATTGTTCCATCTCGTTGCCCTTTGGAGTTCCCTTAGGTTATCTGGAAATCTGGTTTTGGGACTTATTTATGTGTCTTCTCATTTCAGATGAGGCCTGCTGTGTCTTTGTTGAGGAGACTTTTTGCTCACCCAGTGGTCTTAAATTCTCAGCAAGCCACCAAGCAGCCTTTACTCTGCTGCTCACAAGTACACTAATTCTTGGGTTCAGACTGGTGGTCTTCCAGATCCTTGAGCTGACCTGTTGTCTGGGGAGGCTTCTGGCTGGGGCCTGAGAACACTTGGGATGGTATCTAGGCATACTTCTTGCTGTGGCCCCTATGTAGCTATTGTCTGGTAAGGTCTTTGGTTGGGGCTGTGCACCCCAGTTTCCTTTGTCTGCACAGGCTTTGATTAGGGTCTCCTTGCACTAATGGTATCAGGGAAAACCTCTGGGTATTGTTTGTGAGCCTGTACAGCTCTTCTCCAGGCAGGTCCCTGGCTGTGGCGGATGGTATGGCGAGCCTCTGGCTGAAGCCCTTGTGCCCATGCAGCCCCTTTCTGGGTGTGCCTTTGGCTTGGGCATGTGTCCCCAAGCCTCTGGGGTTGGGACAGAGCCCTGGGTGGAATCCGCCTGCAGCTGCACTGGTCTAGGGCACACAGCTGTTCCCCGGGATCTGCCCACACTTAGGGATGGAATGGCAGGCCTCTGGCGGGATCCCGCATCTATATCTGATTTTAGAAATAGTTGTATTTATTTTATTTAACACAAATTCAATTGGAAAGTTATTTGTAGTCTTAGTCCAGCCCATTTAAGTGTATAAAATGAGGTGTGAGTGAGGCTAAGTTACTACTTTTAAATTTTCAAACTAGATTTGCTTTGCAAATCGGGTCAGTGTTGAGGATAATTGTGTAATAAAAACATTTTGAAGTAGTTGATGAATGATGATGAATTTAAATCTTGACATAAAAATAGGACACACCGTGGGAAGGTCATTCAATTTTGAGGAAGAACCACTGGAAAAAATATATATATAATGGTGTAGAAGTGTATAGTTTAATGGCTCAAAGTAATATGTTGTGTTATAAAAACATTTTGTACTATCATTAATCATAGAATAGTTTTCATGTGATTAAAGTGTTCAAATTAATATTGAATTAACGTTTTGCAGAATATGGTAAAACGAATTGCCTCTGTGAGCATCAGATTATTTCGTTCATTCCCTAAATTCTTTCTTTAGTATAAGATATGGAGTAAGACATCTTTAAACAAGGATC